TCAAAGTGAACGTGTGTTCCTGCAGAACATTGCTCTTACCTATTGGTTACCACTGAGTTTGTGATTTTATTCTTTATTATTATTTTAGTTTTTAATGCAGAGATTTAAACTATATTCACTATATACAATGCTTAACAAATTTATTAAAACAAATTTATGTAAGGTTTTTAACAAATTATGGTTTGTGCCACTGCTGCTCTAAACTAACAGTACTGGTGATTACCAAAATCATTTTTTAGCTTTCTGTATGGGTTAGTCCTCCAATATGCATAAGCTCTTTAGTAACAGTAGTAGGCTGTTTCTAATGCTATAATATAATTATTGCTGTTATCTATGAAAGAAAGGCAGAGAGCTTTATGGTGTTTTTTTTTTTTTCAGATACCCAATTACAGTCAAAAAGTACTTAAACAATGCCAGCAAGAACGCAAGCTATGAAGGGCATAGGAGGCCATTTTTGTTATGTGAATAAATAAAAGTATTTATAAATAAATGACAATAACATTTTTTTGATTTAAACAATTTTTTGACAGATTCCTAAAATTCCTAAAATGTGTTTTCTCTTTATTATGGCAGGTAGTCTAATAAATTGTTAAGCACTGTATGTTTTCATAGCATTCAGTTGGAACGTTTGTTTTAAGGACATTGGGCAGAATGTGGAATAGTGTGTTTTTGTCAATAAAATAAAAAAAGAAAATTGTTTGTTTTTAATCCGATTAATAAATAAATAATAATAATCGACCAACTAATCGATTATCAAAAATAATCGTTAGTTGCAGCCCTACAAGGGAGTACTTACAGCTGAATTTGATCCTGGTACAGGACATGAAGCCATTGGCAAGACACACTAAACAGATTATGGGCAGCACACGGTGCAGGGGAAAGTTTAGGGTGATGGAAAGTCAAATACACATTTATTATGCAACACCACCATCAGCGGTGCAAAGTTTCTATAGGCAGTTACAACGTAACTGTTGATGTAAAGCAGAGCAAATGAATGCTGAAGTGTGTCATTTCTGCATAGCTGCAAAAATAATGATGTAATGTTTCTGAGAAATCAAGACAGAAAAATAATAAAGAATGGCCCTTGTGGGCTTGTTTGGATATGTTTGGAAACTATCATTAGTGGTGCTTGCTGAGGACAGTATGTCAACCAGTAGCGATTCCACTATACTGTTTATCTGTGGTGGATTATAATTCACTAGATTATCAATTAATAGTTATGTAGCATATAAAACATTTCTGGGTTGAATTACCTACAGAAATGGCTGCATTGTTGTATAACCTTAACGTAATGTAAGATGTTATTTTTTTCTGCTCAGGTTTTACTAGGTATTTTTAAGTAACATTTTTATACCATTTATATTAATATATAATGTAATTAATTAGAATTCTTTAAAAATTAATTCATTCAAAAATAACATTTATATTAATTAATGTATAAATGTTATTGAGATTTGGGTGGTGACATAGTAGTAAGTAGTAATTTCATGTTTCATGTTATTTTAAAATAATGTTAATAATGATGTAATGTTTCTGAGAAAACAAGACAGAAAAATAATAACGAATGGCCCTTGTGGGCTTGTTTGGATATGTTTGGAAACTATCATAAGTGGTGCTTGCTGAGGACAGTATGTCAACCAGTAGCGATTCCACTATACTGTTTATCTGTGGTGGAGTATAATTCACTAGATTATCAATAAATAGTTATGTAGCATATAAAACATTTCTGGGTTGAATTACCTACAGAAATGGCTGCATTGTTGTATAACCTTACCGTAATGTAAGATGTTTTTTTTTTCTGCTCAGGTTTTACTAGGTATTTTTAAGTAACATTTTTATACCATTTATATTAATATATAATGTAATTAATTAGAATTCATTAAAAATGAATTCATTCAAAAATAACATTTATATTAATTAATGTATAAATGTTATTGAGATTTGGGTGGTGACATAGTAGTAAGTAGTAATTTCATGTTTCATGTTATTTTAAAATAATGTTAATGTGTCACACACATACACTACCATTCAAAAGATTGAGGTCAGTGATTTTTTTCTTTTATTGAGCAAAGGTGCATTCAATTGATCAAAAGACAAATGATGTCTTGTTCAAATTAATGCTGTTCTTTTGAACTTTCTTTTAATCAAAGTGTCTTAAAAGAAATGTATTATGGTTTCTACAAAAATATTAATCAGTATAACCATTTTCAACAATAAGAAATGTTTCTTTAACAGAAATCAATATATTAGAATGATTTATGAAGGATCGTGTAACACTGAAGACTGGAGGAATAACTGCTGAAAATTCAGCTTTGCCATTACAGGAATAAAGGACATTTTAAAATATATTCACATAGAAAGCCGTTATTTTAAACTGTAATAATATTTCCCAGTATTACAGTTTTTACTGTATTTTTGATTAAATGCAGCCTTGGTGACCTTAGGTACTGTTAAAAAATATATATTTCGACCTTTTGAATGAACCTTTCGACCTAGTGTACTGTGAAAATCAAATTACTATTGTAAATATTCTATTAGCATATTTTTTCAAACACCTTTTCTAAAAAAAAAATTCCTTTGTCTTTCAGGTTTCCCAAAAAAGCGAGCAGGTGAGTGCAGTGCCTCCTTCCTGTTGCTCTTTCCTAGTGAAACACCCTCATAGCCCCAGAGAGAAGTACGGCAGTCAGGCAGACAGCTAATGGCGGTTCTCTGCAGACAGCGATATAGGCAGGTTGAGCATAGACACAACACTGATGCTGCCGCTGATATGAACATGTGATAATAAAATGCTCAGATTCACAGCATTAGCTCAGGCTTTACATACTTGTAGAGGTTGAGTCATATCTTTTCTTGCAGTTTTGCCTTGTTTATTTGCTTGTGAGCAGGATCCAAAATGTACACTTGCCAAATGTGAATTAAAAAAATTGCGATTGACAGGTTCGCAAAACTCACCAACTTATATATATATAATCTAGTTGTAAGAATCATAATCTGATTGCATTGAAACAAATTTTTACTTGGAGGAAAAAAGGTTTTCTTTTCCCTGAATTAACACTAATGTTCAAAAGTTTGAGGTCTGTAAGATACTCACCAAGGCTGCATTTATTTTGTCAAAAATACAGCAAAAACTGTAATATTGTGAAATATTATTTACATTTAAAATAACTTTTATGTTCTAAATATATTTTAAAGTCTAAATATGTTTTGTCAGAATTCTTTGATGAATAGAAAGTTCAAAAGAATAGTATTTATTTGAAATTGAACATTACAAACTTCTGGTCAATTTAATGTGTCCTTGATGAATAAAGATATTTCTTTCAAATTAAATTATTTACTCATCTCAAATGTTTGAATGGTAGTGTAGATGTATTTGCGTTAAGCCAGCAAAACAAAAGTATGAAAACCACATTATGTCTTTAAAGGGATAGTTCACCCAAAAATGAAAATTCTGTCATTAATTCCTCACCCTCATGTCATTCCAAACCTGTAAGACCTTCATCTTCTGAACACATTTGTGTTATATTTTTGATGAAATCCGAGAGCTTTCTGACCCTGCATATTAGACAGCAATGCAACTACCACATTTAAGGCCCAGAAAGGTAATAAAGACATTGTTAAAATAGTCCATGTGACATCAGTGGTTCAACTATAATTTTATGAAGCTACGAGAATACTTTTTGTGCTCAAAGAAAACAAAAATGTGACTGAATTCAGCAACTTTTTGTCAGCCGCCATTCACGAGAGTACCACAACGCATATGTATGATGCTGCTGACGCAGGAGCCGACTAATCGCACGTTTATTAATAAAGCATTTAAATCCTAATAATGAGCCTTTAATTGCCTACATTGCCTAATAAGCGCTCAATGCACGTTTATTAATAAAGCATTTAAATCCTAATAATGAGACTTTAATTGCCTACATTGCCTAATAAGCGCTCAAGCACACGCATAAAGCTTGCCACAGCGCACGAGCAGAAGTAATGATTATGTATGTTTCAGAGAAAAACAGTAAGGAGGCTGCATTATTAATTTTAATAAGTTATTGATAAGCTAGTGCTTTCTTTGTTTTCGGATGTCAGCGACACTGACTCGTCATCTCCGCAGTAGTGGATGCACCTGTATGCATCTTTCATACGGATTACATAATCTGAGAATATTTGTTTTCCATTTGAATTGGTTCATTTGAAAGTAAACATTTCACTCTCTATAGATATATTTTCATATCTGTAAGGCAAGCATACACAGAGTTTTGGCGTTTCGCCCTCAAGTTCACAGACTGAGACAGCAGAAAGTGCATCCTGTTTGCTTTCATTATTTTACAAAAGCAAGTTTTTTGTTATTGTGAGAGCACACAAATAAACGTAGAGTCTTTACAGATT